TATCTTTATAAACATACACATGCACACACACATCCTGTTGGTTCTGTTTCTCTGGAGAACCCTGAATACACTAGGGTTGGAGGGTTCAAGATGGCCTCACTCATGTGTCTGGCAGTTGGTGCTGGCTATTGGCTGAAAAGTCTTAGTTCTCCACGTGGCTTCTCATCTTCTTATGGTGGATGGAGACTTTCCACTGCATGGTGGTCTTAGCATTCTAAGAAGCAAAGACCTAAAACCTAGACTCCAAAATGTACAAGATCACTCCATCATACTCTGTTGGTCGAAGCAAGTCCTAAGACCATCCCAGATTCTAGAGGTGGTCAAATAAACTCCAATTTTTTATGGGAAGAGTGGCAATGTTACACTACAAAGGGGTGTGGACACAGGAAGCTGTGATTCATAATAATTCCATACAATTATAATAATGATTTACGTCTGGGTGCAGTGGCTCATGCCTGTAATCCCGGCACTTTTCGAGGCCAAGGTGGGCAGATCACCTGAGGTCAAGAGTTTGACACCAGCCTGGCCAACATAGCGAAACCCTGTCTCTATTAAAAATGTATAAAAATTAGCCGGGTGTGGTGGTGGGCGCCTGTAATCCCAGCTACTCAGGAGACTGAGGCAGGAGAATTGCTTCAACCCAGGAGGTGGAAGTTGCAGTGAGTCGAGATCGAGCCACTGCACTCCAGCCTAGGTGACAAGAGTGAGACTGTCTCAAAAAAAAAAATTTACAACAAAGTCTTTGATTTTTACCACTTAAATCTGGAAAACTATATTATTCAGAAAAAGAAATAATGGAATTCCAAATAAAACAAGCCACTCAAATAATTCATTTTATCAAACATTCAACTAAAATATAATGGTTTTGCTTTCAAATTAATGGAGGGTGAGAACCTGATAGAACCTCAGTCTAAGCACAAATCCTTAAAAGCTTTGACTGGTCCTATTTATTTCCTGTTATTTTCTTCAGATTTTACTTACCCATTATTTTATTTTAAACTGTCTCTCTAGTAGAGTAGAAAATGTACAGAGTAATGATTCTCAATCATTTTTATTTGCCACAGTACTTCTGAGAAATCCGTAGTGGTTGCTTACAACAGCAGGCAGTCTGTAAGAGAAGACAGTGAGTAGAAGGACAGTAAACATTAGTATCTCTGGTGCGACCAGAAGAAACTTCTCTAGTTACAATCGCCTCACATTCTGATGCTCCCCTCAGGGAGGGTACATGAACCCCACTCCCACCTCTCATGCTTACCCCTTTAAAAATAACTGTTGTAAAAATCCAAATTGTGTTTTATCAGCTTCTATGAGGGCATTCTGCACACACAATGTCAAACTGAGTCAATAGTATTTGGGTTTCTGGGCAGAATGGAGTATAACTGTAGTTTAAAAGGATCATTTGCATTATTTAAACAATCCTTGATAGTAACTTTTCAGGAAAAAATAGTAATATTAGAGTATTACTTATCTGAAATTTATTATCCTGAGTGTTAAAATGGACTAAAATGAATACCTAGATCTGATAATCATTTGGCTAGACTGTGGTCCCTGGATTTTTAAAAAATGCAACAAAACCTCACAAAATCAGATTAATTAAGGGAGGGTTAGTTTCAGAGAGGGAAAAGTCAAAATTACTGAATATTTAAAGAAGTGTCCTTTTAATTCAAGAATAATTTCCACCAAGGCCAGGCACGATGGCTCACACCTGTAATCCCAGCACTTTGGGAGGCCGCGGCGGGTGGATCACGAGGTCAGGAAATCGAGACCATCCTGGCTAAAGCAGTGAAACCCCGTCTCTACTAAAAATACAAAAAAAATTAGCCGATCGTGGTGGCAGG